CCATCGGTGTCTTTATCGCCATCTTTCTTTTGAACTTCATTCTTACTGTCGCACTGTTCTGGGTTTTGCTCTGCGTTTGCTGGATCACCATCTAAAGGCACAAATAAATAAATAAAAGGCAGTGCATTTTGAAGGATTAATTCAGACACTGGGAGTCAAAGCTCTTACTATTAAATCTAGCTACATGTGGCACAAAACCAACCTGTGCTTCATTACTGCTGACAGAAATCTGTCAAACATATTCACACCAACAGGTAGCTCTTTGTCAGTTTAAATGGAAGTAACAGAAAAGAAGGAAACATCGTCAAAAGAGTTGGAATGGTGGAGGTTTTAAGGGTGTCTTTTGGGGGCGTGCAGCCAAAAAGAGTTTTTAACTTTTTAAAGAAAAGTCATCTATATTCAAAAATATGTACAGTATTAGTAGTCAAAGAACAAAATAAGAGTGTAAAAAATAACACAAAGCTAAATGTGGATGAAAACAGTATCTGATGTAGATAAATTGGCTAATATTGGTTTTTGCACAAAGACTACATTTTTTACTAAGTAACCAAGACCACAGATTGAACATCATATTGATTTGTGGTGGCTGGATTTCACCTGCAGTACACACACACTTGAGAATGATGTAACAGCAGCATTTTTTTTTTTTTTTTGCAGAATTATCTTGCAGGTGTTGTTTTAAATTGTATATTTTTGCTCTTCCAATTCCTAACTCTCTGTTTATGTCTCATGAGAAAGTAATTACATATCTCAGCTCTTGGATACCATCCCAGGGTAGCATTTGCTATAACTTGCTCATGGAATATCTACAAAATTCATGTTCAGAGAAGCTCTATCTGTCAAATCGCTGTCAATGGGATTGGATTTGAATAAAACAAAAACAGAGGAGAGACGAGGCGCTGCCAGTATGCAAATGCAGAATCTTAATTATATACCAGCAGCACAGAGGATATTCAGAAAAGAGAAATGGTTCTGGCTCAAAGTTAATAGTTGCTCCTTTAAAACACATTCACACACACACACAGTTCATTTGAGGCTCTTGCTGTCAGCACAATACAACACATCAGAGCCTCTGGATGTGTTATACATACACATTTAAAACAGTGTGTACTACTTATTTCTGCTCTGCTGACAAGATGGCTCAGGTTGGATTTAAAAAGGAAGAAATGCTCTAAAAAGATCGAGCGACTGAGAAGCTGGATGTTGGTCAACTCTCATTGTGCGCTTCAATCAAATTCAATTCGATTCAATTTCACTTACATATTGCCAAATCACATCAACAATGTGGTGTATATATTGTAAGGTAAAGACCCTGCAATAATACAGAGAAAACCCCAACAATCAAATGACCCCCTTTTAGCAAGCGCTTGGTGACAGTGGGAAGGAAAAATTCCTATTTTAACAGGAAGAAACCATCAGCAGAACTAAGCTGGTCGCAGCCATCTGCCGCGACCAGTTGGGGGTTATGGGAGGAAGACAGGACAAAAAACAAATAACACACTGTGGAGGAGACCCAGAGATTAATAATAAGTAATGATTAAAATTCTATTTGAGTGAGTGCTGGGTACAGTAATCTCAGGCTACGTCCACACGTATGGGATATTTTTGAAAAGCAGATTTTTCTATTTGCACCTTTCATCCACACGTAAACGGCGTTTTCGGTCACTGAAAACGGGGATTTTTAATAACTCCTGCCAGCGTGGAAATTTTCGAAAACTCCGTTTTTGCATTTCCGTGTGGACGAGAAAACCAGCGTCAAAGGTGTGCGCCTTTTTTGACGTCACAATGTGAGTCACGTTATTGTTTCGGTGAAATGGATTTCTGCAATGGCGGTCTTAGACAAAATACCATTACTGTTAATTCTACTCTCTGCAGTGTTTAAATGCTTATATATAGACACAGTTTCTGTCCTTCCAGACTGTTCCGCTTCAATGCGCCATCTTTGTTTACTCTTTCCCACCCAGGCTTCTAGACTTCTGATTGGCCAACATTTCTACACGGTTAGGAATATCGCCACCTGTTGCTTTGGCATGTTCCTAGCAGCGGTTTCCTTCGTTTTTGCGTTTACGTGTGGACGGGATTTTTTTTTAAAAAACGAAAACGGAAAATCTCCATTTTCAAAAATACCGGACGTAGCTTAAGTCTGCACCCAGACAACACGTAATTGCACCGTTGGACCCTTGATTTGTAACTGTACTTTACCTTGACTCTGACTCTCCATCTCCACATCTTGAGGTTCATCTGTATTTAGAAAGACAAGAGAAATCCAAAAGAGAAAACATACGAGTTTAGCGCCAGCATCTGGAGTTGAATAGACTTGGCTTTCGATATCACCTCAAACAGCCTTTTCATTCCATCTCTTTCTGTAGCTTTGCCTTTGTTCTACAGTATGAGAGCAATGGATCCACAAAGACATGCATAAATTAAGTGACAAAAACGAAGGGAAAAAGAATGTCACTTCTAAAGCCATACATAATTGAGGGATTTCTTTGTTCCACGCTTCTGTGATAAGAGAACTTTTTTTTGTTAGAGTGGTGACACACGGGATGGAAAGACTGTACTGAAACAAAGAAAAAAAATTCAATTTTTGATGACAAATGACATCAAGAAGCATCGGTAGAGCCGAGAGGCTCAGAACATGCGCTAATGGTCCGTAGAGCTACATTACCATTGTCACCGTTATCTTCATCACCTCCTCCCTCTGTACCTGAAAAGGGAGAGAAAAAAAATCATCAGCCAAACAGAGGCATCGGTATGAATAATACCAGTCATTCGTTTTAAAAAGCAAAGGAAACAGTCATAATAATGATCACTGTTAGCTCTTCATCTTCCTAATGCAAAGGATTTATTTTGAGGGTGTTGACGCCGCATTTTAAAGCAGCAACGTCCAACCTTAAGTTATTTTTCATTACTGAAACAGCATTATACTGTTGGGATTTTCTGTCCATGTTTGAGTTTACAGATACTTGCTACTGATGTTTCTAATAACATTTTAATTACTCTATATTTTGCATAAACACAACAGGGGACTAACACAGGAGGTCTTTAACATATCTAGCTTTAAGACAGCAGTTTTGGGTCTTTGTTATAAGAAAGAGGCTCTTAAATTTGTAGCATTGGGGAAGTAATAAGCCACAGTAGTGCTTTGAAAATTTGCAGGGCATGTTACTTTATGTTGCGTGCATAAGGTAACATGCCGATGTTGTAGTGTTGCCCAAACTCACCCTGGTCAGCTAGACTGAATAAAAATATTTTTGCAGTTTTGGTTATGAACAAATAAAAATGAATCATCTTACAGCTTTTTATATAAAAGCATATATATGCTACACATATATTTGAAGAACGTTACTCGTACATTACACACAGGTGCTGCCATCACCAAACTATAATTTCAAGTCATTACAGCCTTTATCCTGTTACATCCTCCTATAAACTGAACTCCATAGAAATGTCCACCGGATGCACAAAAGGCAGAATTTGATATGAATAAAAATCCTATCTGTTACTACTCCCACCCTCCTCACCGCTTTCTTGCACTCTTGCACTCTTACACACAGACAGGCACATAAACCAATGACATTTGGGACAAATTGAGTAAATGAAAGCCATGACACCAATAAGAGAACATGCTTTACAATGGCTATTGTGCAGCTTCTATAATTGCTTTTTTAACAAGCTGCAGAGAGAAACCATTTTTCATATCTATGCAATTTTGCCCTGCACTCAGAACAATAAAAATGCCAGCCTCCATTAAATGGGAAAAAGGCCAGTTCTACCAGTGCTGCATGTTTGTCTCAAGTATCTCTGTCCATCATGCAGAATGCTGGTGACACACAGTAGATGGCGAGCCTTTCTATTAATCATGACTGGCATTTGAGATAGAGCCACAGACAGGGGGCTGAAAAGAATACTTCATTGGGGGAAAAACAACTTAAGATGAATCCTCCGCTAGCCTTGAGGTCACCTTTTTTGTTTAAAATTATGCGAGGGCCTTGTATCTGTCCAAAGTATCTATCTGTCCCAAACAACAATTTATCAGATATGACAAAAGGCAGACTGTAATTTCCTCTTTGTTATTTGATCATTTGTATTTGGCTTATTGAATGAAACTGCATTCAATTTGTGATAAAGGAAAACGTGGGACAGATTGTGGATCAAATGCACACACACACACACACACCAAAAGACCACATGCAAAAATGAAGGAAAAACAAATAAATGTATTGTGCAGATGTGACTTCTAAAGGCTCTGAGGTAAGATCAATTTAAATGCTGTCTCTTTAAAAGGTAAAAACCCAAATAACACCTTCAGGATATCGCTCATCCATGAATACGAAACACCAGGTGGCAGCATTGCCATAGCTTTCCTCCCCAGTGCTCGCTATACAATACTGTCATCACTGTAAATAAGGGTCTGACATACTTCACACAGAAGGGTTCGGGCAACACCTCGAGACTTTTACTGTCAATATTCTGATGAATTCCACTTCAAGAAACACGGTGACAAAAAGGCAATTTTAGGTACTCGTCTGCACTTCTGTTGACTGAGCAAAGGCAGAATGTTTTTCCGAATAAAATGTTCGTCTCACACACACTTAAATGATTTATTAATGTCTACATCACATTCAGGGCTACAGTATTACAAGGACATAAACAATTTATAGGCTGATATTCAACCTTCCTTTTGTACCCTACTTGCACGCCTGTTAAGTAAACATCACCTGTAGTTGATGTTTACTAGTAAATAAAAGCAATATCTCACACGGGAATAAATGGAAATGGGAACAAGTTAGCTGGAATGCGTGCACACTCACACACACTCACATCCAACCATTAGCTCGGCTCCAATCCCCCCTCCCCCTCCCCCCAGGCCTTTCTACTATTCCTTTTATTAAAGCAAAGTGGAGCAAAGGACAGGAAAAAAAGATAAAAAATGAGGGAATGTGAAAAATTCATGAGACATTTGTAAAGGAAAAAGGAAAAACATGAGCAATAGCAATCGTTCAAAGACCTTTTGCACGTGAGGTGTGTGTGCACAGAGTAAAGAGTAAGCACGTTTGTGAGAGATGCTTTATAGGGTACCACGGAGCTAGATGGCATCCCACAGAGAGGCTCACTGTCTGTCCACATGTAGCGTTATTAATCTGCATGTCCACTTTGTGCCATCTCTCACCCTCCCCCCCTCTCTATCCCCGGTCTTTCCCACTACTCTCCAGCATTCCAGGCAAACAGGCATTGATTTCTGGCTTAATGTCCATATTTTACTGTGTCCTGTAACACACTAATCTCACTAATACCAATCTGATATCAAATAATGGGCACTGTAGTGCTGCTTGCCAACTCAGGTGTGCTCTAAAGAGGTTCGAGTCCAGCTTGGAACTCCGTGCCAGCTTTCACCTCCGTGTCTCAGCCACCTTTTTACCTCTCTTGGTTTTTCTTTCTATAGCTTGTGGCGTCTGCATGCTGTGCTTCTGTTTCATGTGGATTACATCACAGCACAGCTCATCACACACACACAGAGTCAGTCTGTGACCCCCACCTTTCAAATACTCCCCAGGGATGTTTGCCGATGACGTTGGATCATGTTAGCTTCATTTGAAGAAGAGATAAAATGCTGTTGATCAAACTTGAAAGCCACCTGCGTTGTTCTTTTAATATGACTTAATCGTGCATCATGTATGCTATGCTGTGTAGTGGAATATCCTTTTTGAAAATTAAATGAAATATATGCATTAAAATAAGCTGTATTTTGATGCTGTCTAGTGTTCAAAAACAGAAGCTGCTGTGTTGTTTGAATGGTGAGTTCTTCCACAGGTTACTTGCTCTTTTATGTTTGGCCTGGGTGTATGTGTTAATTGTGTGCTTTTAACTGTCTCCTTCCTTGAGTCCACTGAGGCGAAAGAGGCCTTTTGCTTGTGAGGTGACAAAAGAACTGTAAATGCAGCAGTGCTTCTGTGTGGGACGGAGAGATCCTATAATTACCTTCAGTCCACTAACCAGTGTATTTATCAGGGCAAAACATTGGTGAAAACCTTGATGTTTTCCCTTCATCGGTACTGTGACTAAAAGCCCCTCATATCTGACCCATGGACTGTGGCGTGAATTCCCTGAAGAGTAATGGATCCCACAGAGGCATATTGACAGACACACTTCATCAACTCTGCTGCAGAGTTGATGCTTTTTTTTTTTTACAAAAAGGTCCTTCACTACACCAATGACTATAGTGCATGAAAGAGTGAAATGCATATTTTAGTTGCTAGAAGAGCTTGCTCTGGTACACACAAGTAGCACGAGGCTCTCAAGCACCTTATAATGTCTGTTTTATGTAACTGACAGGTTGTTTTTGCACTTAGCGTTTCCTTTGCTTTGTGCAATCTTGAGTGTTTTCGATGATTAATCCCACCTATGTGCTACATTGAACCAGACCTAACCTTTACAGTGCAGGCAGCACAAAATCATTTCATTGCCTCCCTGTGAGAGAGGTTGTGTCAAGGACTGACTGTTCCCATGCTAGAAAGCTGTGCCAAGGCCTTTTGTGAATGGATTAGTTACTATTAAGCTGCGGGGCCTGATAAATTAGGATTTATAAAGATTATTACAAAATACTTATGCCCTTCTAATGCTGATGATTGAATTTGTGAATCATACTGAATTACTGTGGATTATGGCAAAGGTATGTTGAAGAGGCAGGGAGAAAGACTTATTGTGCTTTGTTGAGGAACACAGAATGCTGTGGCGCCCTTGAAGTGACTGCACTATCTAGACCAGCCTCTCACAATCAGTGAGAGGAACGGTTTCCCCAAAGACAACAGCCATGACTGCTATCTTCAAAAAATTCCTTGCAACCTTAAGGCTTGAAGACAAATGGATGGTGTACGATTTTAATTGCCTACTAACACCCTCCAGTGTAAGAATCTAATTATCTTTGGTCCATCGTATCGGAGAAGCCTATAATTGTTTCAATATTACACATCCAAAGGGGCTGAAACTGCAGAATAGCCAGATAATGGCTTCTTAAACAAGTTTGCCTCTAAGAAAACATTCTTTTAAAAAGACCGAGCTTCATCTTGTATTCATTTCCCCAAAGAGGAACTTGGCATCAGAAGAGCAAGAGATTACTGACCAAGAGAACGCTCCTTTACTTTATACACACACAACAATTGTTTTTAAAGTAAACACATATCAGTGTTTCCTCTGCCAGTAAAGTTTCCTTGGCGCGTTAAGAAGAAGGAGCCGGAACAAACGTGCACAGTCAGAACGAGCGCACTCTACCTCTGGTGCCGTCCTCGCTCTCTTCCTCGGTTGCTGCTTTGGTAGGTGGTTTTGTGTTATCTATAAATCAACAAAAATAAATGGTGATTCAGTTGAGCAGACACATCCTTATCCCAAAACGCTACCAGGAAGCAAAGAGCATGTCGTTCTGGCATCAAGGTGAGTGAGATGGTGTGAGTAAAGCTGACTCTTTGAAGCAGTGATTATTCTTGGCCGTTGTGTCTCTGTGGACCATGCGACAAAAGCCCGTGGGAGAGCATGATGGCTCTTGTGTTTTGTTTTATACCTGCCTGATAAAAATGACGCTGGTGGGAGAAAAGGGGAAGAATGTGAGGCTTTGACACCAACTCCAGACCACAGTCTGGGACAAAAGCGTCATTCCATGTGAGAATTGCAGTCATTTGAGCCTTTGAATAGCTTCCAGGCTGACTGATTCAAACTCTGGCTGATGGAGCAGAATAAAAGGCCAGTCTTTGGCACCAGTGCAGAAGCCCATCAAACAAGGCCAAACTGGACCAGGAAAGGGCTAGTATGATGATACAACAGAGCCAGGAATTATCAGGGGTTGTTTCAGTATAGTGTGGTACTGTATGCAGCATAAAATAGCTGGTGAGGAATACAATAATAAAAACCCAGCACACTTGGTCAAGACAAGAAAACAGTTCCTCTCGACCAAGCCTTTACGATTCAGCCACATTGTTTCACTTTGGAATATCACATTTTACAGTGCGCTTATAAAACAGCCCTTTTATGTTCACCCAAAGTGAAAACACACATGCGTGTAATTGGTAGATCATGGGGGTGACTTTTGGAGGAAAACATTTTGATAGCACCCTCGTTTCTACATCTACAGTAATCTGAAGACTTTCTTCTGCAGACTGTAAAACTAACATTGCTTTTCGCTCAGATGGCTGCACATGTACTATGAGGTTTGAGCAGTTAGATGTGGGAAAACCTCACTGCTAATCCCACTGTGATCACAATTAAAAAATTAAATAAAAGCTCTTCATGTACTGCTTTGCAACACTCTACCTTGGAGAGAATTGCTACAGGCGGTATCAAACATTTATCAAACAGCTCATAAAACTGAATTTTATACTGTACGTCTGCAAGTAACAACCAAACTGCTGTTATTGTTATTATGTTATTATGGCTATTGTTTCTGCTATTCAAACGCACACACGCGCTTCTATGTGGCCATCAGTTTGTGTCATTGCTTATTCAGGACATCAGCGCACAGACAAATGTCAGTAGTTTATCCTGATAAGCAGTATCTGGTACCTTCAGGCCTCGTTCCAAGATGGTGTGTTGATAAAAGCATTATGCGCTGACAGTTTGTGTTTGTGCTATCACCCGGTGCACGCTGTGGAGGGATGTAGCTCTGCTGCTTCTTTGTCGCTCGCTTTAGGTGGTCTGAAGGCATTGTGCCCGTAAGCCGGATGAAGAGAATGGTGTTGGGAATTGGCTTTGATATAAGCTCTTGTAATGTAATGCACCTGACATGAAGTATTTTTAACAGCGATGAGTCAGGCCTGGGATTCAACTTGTCGCTAAATGCATAAACATTCAATTTCGTCTGCTTCGCGAAACCCAGCAAATCACTGTCATAAGCTGAAGCTACACCACTCACTCACCCTCTGTGTGCTTTAATGGAGGTGTTAAGGTGAAAAGGCAACCATGAAATATTCTGTCACTCACCTTCCTTCGGCGGCTCCTCTGTAACCTCCATGTCATTGTCTGGCAGAGGGGGAGAAAACGACAGCGTGTCAAACCAGGCTCTTTTATAATGCACGAGCCGACTCATGGCAACATGATTATAATATTAGAATATCACAGTGTTATGATGCCGACTGCTGAAACCAAACAATGAAACTCGAACCTGCACCCACCCCTGTAAATCGGGGAAATACGATCACATTTGTGTGTTCCGAAAGCTTTTCGCTGAAACTCTTTCACCTCCTGTTCCTCATCACACTCAACAACCTCCTTCAATTTCCCACCAGATGGCCTTGGATATCGAGAGTTATTACACCAAATGACTGAGTATGTGGGTATATGTTTGGGGAGAGGGGGTCACATTCGTGAAACATTCTTTTCCAATTATATCTATGCTGGTAGGCTCAGCATAAATGACATAAAGCCTCCCATTTCCTGAAAATACAAGGACTCCAGGCTGGCGTGGACAACTGCGTCTTTAAAAAAAACAAAAAAAACCCCTTTGATTTTCTCTTCTTTTGTCTGTAAGTCTATTGTGTGAGACAGACTGAGTGTACTAGAGGTGTTCTGGGTGGATGAGTTGAGTTGCACAGTGCGAGATGAGACGGATGCTTTGGATGTTTATGCTTCAGGAGGAACTGCAGAGTGAGAGATGAGGCGAGAGAGGAACTGTGGATGCCTGCTCACGGCTCCTACACACGATACGCACTCATAGACACTCAGATCTTGCACAGCTCAGCATGCCTCTAGATGCCTTGTGTCAGGCCACTATATACACAGTACATGTGTACTTGCCTTTTTCATGTGCACAGTTCATATGAATGGATTACATTATTTGTGAGGGCACATGTATTTTTATGTGTGTGTGTGTGTGTGGCTGTGCAGGAGTCTGTGAAATGATTGCACTGTGGTTAACAAGCAAAAGCAAGCGTTAGCTTTGATGAAAGGCTGTTGTCATCTGTTCTGTAGAAGTGTAACCATCAGAGCTCCCAGTGGATCCAGCGACAGGCTTTTCTTTTGTATAACACTGAATAAAAGGGTACAGTGCATTAATCTAACCCTGCTTGGGGAAACAAAGGAAGGTCCACTGATACAGTACTACAACAGCGCAAGAATGGAAACATCAGGTGTCTCATCTCCGGCCACACATGATTCTGCTATGATCACGGCTCAATACAGGGAAGGTGCAGTATGTTTTAGTCCAGAACGACCCGTGTGACACCTTTTTTTGGTTCTTGCTTTCTTTCTAGGCCATAAAACCAAAGAAATCGCATACGCATACACATTTAAACAGGATGGCGTGATATGATAACTGATGAGAAAGGATCAGCTGTTTGACAGTACACAGGCTTATTCACGCTCTAAGAAATAGATGACAAGATTGATTCTGCTCTCATGTGTGCATGCTAAATGTGAAACAATAGCTGGTACATGGTTAGCTTAGCATAAACTCTCTAAGCAGGGGAAGAGAAATCTACAACCACGTAGCAAAATTAAGTAATTATCCAATCGGAGTGACAGTGAAACTCCAGGAATGTTCCCGAACTGGACCAATAATAATGTATAGGTACAGTTCTGTGCAAAAGTTTTGAGCTACCACTCATTTCTTTATATTTTCTAGGAAAACTAGAAGTCGGTGCAGAGATTTATCGAAGCGTGCAAACATATATAGAAATTGAGTATATAAGGTAAAAATAGGGAAAACTGATTGTACAGTTTTTACTGTACAATCTAATGTGCAACTACCCCCTTATATCCAAAGGTGTCAGCACAGTGGATCGGACATGTTGCCACTGATTATGAGTCCAGTTCTTGTTTAATTTAGCATACCTTAGCCCTTTCTGCATGTTTCCGCTTCTTATGAATGGCTTTTTGAAAGCCACGCTTCCAATAACAGCACATCTGATGAGGTTTCAGTGAACAGTAGATGGATCAGCTGAACGACCATGGTCGTGATTTTTAGATACTTGTTTTGTCCAGTTACCTGAGATTTTTTTAAGAACACACTGGACACCATATCAAGATCTGTCAAGTGTTTTGGTCAACAGCTCTTCGGGCATCACCCTGTTGGTGCAAAAATAATATTTTGTGTCTGTCGGGCTGTGTTATCTTTGGCATTTTTCATAGCTTCAACCAAAGAAATTGGAACAAATGATGCGTTTTTGTGAGAAGCTTCTAGTAACAAAATGCCCAAAGATACAATTTAAAACTGTTTTTTTTTTTGTTAAGCTGTCTGTAGACACAACACTGAGTCATCCCTCAAGTTAGGTGCCTGTTTTATGTTTGAATGATTCATGGTTCAGTGTCCAGTGGCTTAACAAACTGAAAACCACTCCTTTGAAAACGGTGGTGTACAAATGAGTGAAAAAGACAAAGATAAACATGCACAGACTATCAGAACTACTGTGCAAGACCACTTTAAAAAATGACAAGACAGTCTGGCTATTTGGAAGCAAAATAAACAAGAAATAAGAATTGCTGCAAGGTTTTTGCACGGTCCTCAGTATTTTTTCTCCACTTTTGATGGAGCTCAGCTCTTTTCCAGTGTTTTATGCTATGCTAAGCTTAGCTGTCTCCAGCTTTTTAACAAATAGATATGAGAGTGTTATTGATCCTCTCATCTGACTCTTGGAAAGAAGTATTGACCCTATCATTAAATTCCTAATAGACGATGAATGAACTATTCCTTTAGGGTTACATATTCACGCACAAATAGGAATACCTTGTGAGAAACGATATGGCCATATTTAAATTTAAATAGTGTCCCTAAACCGAGCAATTCTGAACCTTTAAATTATCAGCGAGTGACCATGACCAGCCAACACCAAAAACACAGATAAGCAGCTCATAACATTTGTCCATTTTCATGTCTGATTTATTCACAGGCTTCCCAACATTTTTCAAATATGAAGGGCTAAAGCAGGAACCTCGTATCTGCCGAAGCTGACTGAGAGACTCAGTGTGCTCCCTGACAATAACATCACTAACACACCGTGGTCTCCTCATTTCCCTGCCCTGAGGGATAGCCTCGTGAAACCAACACAGACTTCATTTTCACCCCTCACAGGGATCCTGTAGCCCTTCATATGCTCCGTCAACAAATTACATGTGTGTGATAAAAGCCTGTGCATACCACAGCTTTACTGCTGTAACAGCAGTGGTGTGGTTTGAGGGGGTTCTTTTACTATGGACATTTGATGGCCGGGTGGGTGTGTGCATGTGTGTGTGGGTTAGGGGTTAAGAGGCGAGAAACATACAGTGTGTATTAAAAAGCTATGTAAATAAATGTCAACTGGAAAGTGGGTGAAACAGTTGGAGAGAATGCAGCAGCCTCTGCAGTCCTGTGGTCTGTGTTAATATTGTCAGCAGTGTGGCTGATTGAGGAGAAGACGAGATGGAGCCCAGCTTGTGGGCAGCCACCCGGATCATATTAGTGGAGGAGTGTACCCAGAATCAATTTCAACATGCTTTCACTCTCTACAACGACAGATGCCTGACTGCTTCCATACGCGCAAATAATATGTGGCACGGGAAGCGTGTGGTCAATCACGCCAATCAGAATACATTATAGAATCGTGTTTTATGATTAATTGCATTGATTGAGCTCTGCTACTTAATCAATTAATGTTCATACTTAATAGTTTCGCCTTCTAAAAAACCCCCAACAACAAACAGCTTGTGCTGCTCTGTGCTTTAGCTTGTTTGTGTATTTGCATGATTCAGTGTTGATGTTAGAGGGGAAAACTCATGACTCCAAAAGATCCAAAAGCATGCCGATCTTCACGAGCTACATAAAATACTCTGTGTGACTGTGAGGACTCCGTCGTTACTCATCAAACAGCTGCTCCATTGCTCAAATACCAGGCAGTTCTAATCTTTAAAAAATAAATTAAAAAATCCACTTCCTGTTTTGTGCACGTGTGCCACAGTTTATGTGCCTGCATGCAGGTGTGTCTGAGTATTCATGTCAGCACAGGCTATTTTTCAGTTTCCTCCCTTTGCAAAGGAGTAACCGTATTTTGGCTCTCGCACACTGACAGCTTGTGGAAATGCACATTGTAATAAAGCAATTTCCTGTATGCAAATGTCCTGTTTACACATTCCTGCTCCAGTCATTGTCACTTGACAGATTGCTTGAATATGAGGAAAGCGGCTATACTGTGAAAAATGAGAATAGTAAGACTTCAATAAAAAAAAAAAAAATCCATTGTATGTGTACTTGCCGCTGTAGACATCCTTGAAACTGATGTCACGGGGAAGATCCCGAGTTTCGCATAACCACACACACACATACAAATTACAGAAAGATCAAGGCCACCATTCACAAGAGCTCGATAACAGTATGCAAATAAAGGAGGTGATGGAGAAGCTTCTCCTCAATGTAATGGGGAAGAATGAAGGGTGTGAAGGGTTAAGGAAATGGGCATGTAGCACAGGAATAAAGGGAGACATGTGTGAGAATAAGTAAGGAGAACAGGAAGTGCAGACGTGACAGAGGGTTATTGAAAGCGAGAGGATGCTGCAGGAGACAGAATGGTCTCAAGTCTCTGTGTGATGCATTCAGTGTTGCCGTAAGATCTACCTGACTGTCTATCACTAGCAGAGAGGATGATGAGACGTGCTGAAAGTGCTCGAGCACACCTGCAGAGCTAATTCACAGCCTCTGATTCACTACTGGCATTCTGCGCAGGCTAAATGCAAGTCTTTTCACACTATGGGGTTATGCATTACCTACCATGATGCAATCATACCAATCAGCACTTCTTTCTTCAAAGAACACCTTTCAACTACTGTTGGAAGCCATCTACGTAGTGCAGCGTGGCTGGATAAAACACACGAATCCTGTCGCTTCTGTGAGTGTCTACATTCACAGCATAAGTAATTATTTTAGTATTCTTTTCTTCCTTAAGGTAAAACTTGAAAGAAGTTTTGTTTTGACAGAGAATTAAATTCTTTCAACTTACAGATGAGGTGAAAGATGAAAAGAGGTGTGGGTGAGGGCGGTGTGAAGGTGTCTGGCTAACTAAGACAGTGACCCTGAGTGGGAATGTCATGCTTATTAAGCCAATTATCCTCTCCTGCCCACAAAGAGGAAAGATGGGCAAAGGTGGCCCTGACCTCAGGGGTCAAAGGACACGTGACAGGTAAGACACTGATGTCAAAAGCACTTGCATCACGGTGTGTGCTGTAGTAACCTTTTGAAATGACCCCAAATTTAATCAAAGACTGACCTCGGCCTCCCTTATTAGCAACTCATTACATTTTGGTACACAATAGTTTTTAAAGATTTTGCTCAGAGTAATGTGAGTCTCAAAATGTTTCTGAATGCCCTACGTGGCGCGCACACGCATACACACAAGCTGTCATTTTGCTTCTTCCCTGTTCCCAATCACAGGGAGATACAGGCCATTTATCCACTCACAGCACTTTTTAAATGGTGAGAGTGATAACTGGAGAACAACAGCTCCAGATTCTCATCTCAAAGCACTAATATGATGAGACGGGTGCTGGGTGCATGGGGGCAGGCAGTATAATTAAGGTCTCTCTTCGGAATGTAATCTTTTAGGGAAGAGTCTGGGCGGGGAGCGGGAGAGATGACGGGAGTGCAGGGAGAACAAAACACTCTCCATCTGGGAGCAGCGAGATGAAGGCCTGAGAGCCGGTATTCCGTTGGGGAGGTGAGGAGCGAAAAGTGAGGTAAATGGAAGGTAATGCTAGGCTGGTGAAGCCAGCCAGCCTCTTTCAGCTCCCCAGCTATTCAACTCAATCCTCTGTGGAGCCCCCATCAGAGCTGGTGACTGCTCCTGGTCCCCGGAAAAAAAGATGATGGCATGAAAGGGGGGAGGGAATTGAGCAAGGGACAGAAAGGAGAGTGGGAGTAGAAGATAATGGATGTTTGTTTATTTCACACACACACACACACACACAATTGGAGAGCAGTAACCAAGAGGATGGTCACGGTTGCTATGCATCCCGGAATATTTTAGCTTTTTTCAGGAGACAATTGCTGTTGTGTACTATTATTACAGTCAATCAAATCCGGCATTAAATTCTCATCAAACTATCAGCGATCACGTGAAATATCAGCTCGCTCATTCACGGCAAGCACACGAACCATTAGACAGCTATTATAGGTCAGGTAGATCGTGAGGCAATATGTAGAGAACCTGACACTTATTTTATCAACCTTGTCGGCATAAATTCTCACCGTTAATCTCCCCAAAGGCTGCGCGGTTGGTTGCGCTGAATATGTTTGCATTTGAAGGTGTCACCCAAACCTGACAGGTCCTTACACTACTGCTTCCAGGAACAGGATAATTCTCGCTGCAGATGTTTCCAAGGATACACAAGGTCACTCCCTAACTAACTGAACACATGTATGCATATGTTCAGTTACTTAGGCGGTGACATCACAGGTTGTCCAAAACTTGGAAAACTTGAAGAAAGTCGGCGTGTTAATCAATTCAACAACAAAGTGTCAGGTAGCAGAAGAAATGTAATGATCCAGCAAGGATGCGAGTGATTACACGTACCTTGAAACATGACAGACATTTTCTTCTTGTAGATGGCAAAATCAGTCTCGAGGAAGACGCAGAAAATGACCCGTTTGATCTGCACGGGAAGAAGAAAAGATACGGAAGAGTAATTAACGAGCATGTTCATTGCTGAAAGGGCTCTCTGTGAATCTGATGAAGAAAAACTAACCGGACAAATTTAGATCTGACAATAGTGGTCGCCATGCGGTAATCTAATTAGTTACCCCAAAGACCATCTAAACAATACAAGCTGGGACAACTTTTGGCACATAGTACGGCACATTACATCAGAATAGGCATTATTTAATGGGGCGTGTGATAAGGGCATAAGCCTCTGTATGGGAACGGACATTAAATCAACATTAAAAGTTAAGGAATAAACTTGAAAATTACAAGAGGAGTAGCAAATTAATTATAAAGCCATAATTAAAAATGGTGAAAAGAAAAACACGGAGTAATTACATTTTGTACTGAAACCTCATTTAAATGCCACAGATACATATTTTGTGAAATCAAAAGCGCTTAATATAAAACAAGATTTTGACTTATTATTTCCTGTTTCGATGTCATAAAAAACAGTATTCTGAGAATGCTTCCCAAACTAACAACAAGGATCGTTTCATTAGCTATTAAACTTCAGTCAGACCCTGAAATATCTGGAGCCGCTACCATTTCCCTTTAAAACAGGCAGGTCTTCTGCACTGTGTCAGTGCACTGTTATTTAGTAGGTTGTTCCAAGCATCTTGCCACAGTTCTGTCTCAGGTGCTTCTGTCTCTACGTGGAAGCAGAGCTCCACAGGGGTGGAGGGGGGGATACCATCTGTTTCAAGTTTCCTTGTTGTTTTTGTCACTGAAGTTAGTTCTTTATGCATCTGGCTTTATGCTTGCCATGCTAATAAATTTGGCCCCAATCAGACCCTCTGAAACTGTGTGATGCATAAGAGCCTAAAACAAGCCAGAGCTATAAAGTGACTTGACTGATGATGCCACAGCCTACTGTCTTCTGTTATTGCCATGGGTTTCTACTTGCTGCTAAGATAAAGTAAACAAATGTATTCTACTGTATGCCAGTGGGAAAAAAGGTCTACAAAATTCAGCACAGGGGGTTATGAAGGCTCCTTTCTATTTTATAAACTAAACAAACAGCAGATAAATGGCTGAATGAGCTCACTGACTCCTACACTTCACTTGGCAAGAAGTTATAGTTGCAAATATTAAATATTAATTAACCTGCTATTTCCTCTGCTGTTTTTTTGGCCCAGTCTAAATTCATAATCGTTATGTTTTTCACTTAGGAACTTTAAGCACACTGAATACTGAATGGTTTCAACCTTAAAGCACAGAGAGGATGGATAGATGTTAGGTTACACAGAAGTCTGGTTGCCTGGAAGACTTAATAATAATAGCAAATAATCATGTAATCTGAATAAATCTGTATAAATGCATCAGAAAGATAAACTTTTGTTTTATTTACCTCTACATAAGTTTAATTTTTCACCTTCTAAAAGAAGAGGCCTGCTTTGGGTTTAAGACAGATCCACTGGCACTGTGTTTTCCACACTTTGACAGTGTGTCTAAAAACGATTCATAGAACTCAGAAGAAAGAGGTCACCTCTTTCAGTCTCACCCTTCTCCAGCAGAGTCTTAGATGTGCAGGCATCAGTCACGGTCACAGAGACGCATTACACACCACGGCAGCAGATAATCGCTTGACTGAATAATGGCAATTTTACACAACAGCCGTAATGCTAGCTATCTGCTCGCCATCCTCCTCCGTGCAGGATTTTATGTTCCAGTGGAATAAAGGGGGCCCACCAGCTTTACCCCCATTCCTGACCTAACCCAGCACAAGGATCCAATTCAAAGAGACACCCTTCTGGTGCTCATACAGACATACATCTATTAATAGTTTATGATCAGTGCTTTGGAGTAAATGTTAGGAGCTGCATCTCGGATGGTAACATTTTATTTTGCTAGATGTCTTGGGGGGGCTTTGTTCATAAAATGTAGACTCACTCTCTCAACCCTTCAACCCTGACAGAAAATGAAAGAATGCTTTAAGCCTCCTTTGAAGTCGTGGGCTCGCTGACAAACAGAAAAAGCAATAATACGCCAAGATAGTGCATACCACTGGGTGCTGGAAGGCCACAGGACAGCAGCTCCCCAGGAATTTCCATCACTCTTTTGTGCCGCTCCATTCTAAAACCGACTGCCCACTGTGAAACAGGATGAATCATGGATTCATGCTTTGCATCGCACAAAGAGGCTGGTGTGCGCGTGCATTTGGACACACACATACCAGGGGTGCTGATTACATTTTGCGTATGCACTATTAGATGTGATAAAATGGGAAATACTGCTCTGAGGGAATATGAGCTAAAGTCAAAAAAACAAAACAGAAAATCTTTGTATCCATGTCATGTATACGCTCTCTGTTTCTCTCTCCCCTGTCAATCTTTTTGTCTAGTTTCTGTTGCTCCGCGTCCACATTCTGCACAAGGCTCAGGCAGCGTCTTTTATTCTGCAGATCAGAAATACATTGTATGGTCTTTGACAGACATCAGCTAGACCAGGATGCCAAATGAAACCAAAAATGCCAGTGCTGAACATTGACATTCAGCCTGTATCTAAACAAAGTGTTGCAAAGAATTCATAAGAGCCAGAGAAGGTCTGATCTGTGACTCTTTCTTTAAAAAAAAAAAGTACATTTCACTAGTTTGTACCTTAAAAAAACAGAGGCAGCGTGTCACCTGCGTGCACAGGTATTGTAGCATAGTCATCGGAAAATGATCCCTCTAACAGTTTCCCTGAATAACAGTCAGACTCCTGTGCACCTGATGTTTTAATCATTATTTTACATGGACAGGGAACAACACACAAATCATTTTATGGGATGATACACATAATGTGACTGCTGTTATTCTGGAAGGACGACATGGTGAAAATTGGTTCTGCAAAAAAGCCATTTCTGGCCAACCAGGGTGAATGTAAGGATTAAATGAACACTGCAGAGTAAATAAACTGTTATTAAATACTTAATTTTAGATTTTTGACTTTGGAGCGGAGATCCCATATTTCAGTTTGAGGATGTGAATCGCGCATGTGTGTGTGTGTGTAAAGTGTGCACCCTATGGTTACCAAGGTTGGAAAAGTTAATGGAAGACTAATTAGAAAGCTGGGATCACTGCATGATAACCTGCCCACTCATTACTCATCGCTGATTGGAGGGATTTTTGTTAGGGTGAGCACAAAAGGACCAGGTCCCCTGGCTGTACACAGTGCGGACGGTCATATTAACAGAAATGCTGCAAAGGTTATTGAGAGAAATGATGTGTTTTCTGTCTTTGCTTAGGCATGCGTAAGCTTGTGGATGCTTTATTAAAACAAAACAGGCCCTTCTTTAATTTAAAAGCAGTTAAAGTGAAATTTAAGAGATCTTTTAATGTATTCCAGCACTGTTTTAAAGGTGTTGAGATCCTAATCACAACACTTTTAAAACAGGGCTAATCAAAAATGGTGCACAATGCTTATTTTAGTAAACTTCCCACAGATGAAAATCACCAAGTGTGAGAGTGAGTGATTTAAAGGATAGAAATCAAAATATTTGAATCATTGAAATTATGTTGTTTACTTCCTTTGACTTATTATGGTTCTAAAACCCGCATATTCACAGACTGGCAAAGTCTCTTAGGCACCCCCCAATTGCATTACTGGCTTGCAATCCTGGCTTATGAATTGTGAACTAAAAGTTGGATGGTTCTTCTACTCTTGAGCCCAAAGTTGGACTCCACCTCTGCCCATTTTAAATAAGCAAGCTTGGGCTCAGAGCAGGTGGCGATATTTCGGGAACTTGTTTTTTTCTCCCTCTCTCTCTCTGCGTGGCCAAGTTTTAATTATGATTTGTGGATTTAGCGTTGCCAAGGCATTGATTTCCTGCATATTGGTTTTCAACACAGTCATAGAGATTCTGTTTTTGGCCTTTCACTTTGCAAATGCGATTACTGATATTTCTTCAGATTCTCAGAATCTTTAAATATTATGTATATGATGAAATCCCCAAGTGGGAAAACATTACTGTAAACTATGAACTGTTCCACTATTTCCCATTATCTGCCGAGGCCTCTCCCTGCCTTTACTTTTGATAGATTCTCTCACTAATTAACACTTTCCAATAATATCTTAATATTTTAGAATTTGACATGATGCCTTTGAACTACGTTCAATTTAGTATCGGGTTTAAAGTATTTTCAAATTAGTTGGGTCTCTTTTTAGTTACATTTCTCACAAAATCTCAACTTTAAAGGAGACAAAGGTTGTTCAGTATTTCATTCCTGATGAATTAGTATTAATTTGTTGTGATTTTTACAACGAAGTATGCCTATTTTCTGTTGTTTCATTAAAATGCTCTCTAAAACACTTTGTTCATCTAGCCTAATCAACTCAAAACCTATAACTCTCTATTATAATTGTGAACAAACAGGTCTCATCCAAACTGTCTATGTATGAGACTAATTAAAATGATAATGCCATGAGTTCACCCCATGCATTTGTAACTCATTAGCGTGGCACATGAAATGCTGAGAAACAAGATTTGGGAGTGGCTAGCTCTGTGACATGGTGCCAGACGCGTGTGCTGCTGTGTTCATGAGCAGCATGAGACGATATGAAATTGCCATTAGCAAACGTCTCGTGTTTTCATGAAAATCTGTACGTGATTTTTAATTTGTGTATCGGTGGTTCATCATTGTGGCATGCAGCTCACCAGGTGCAGCAGACACCTACTGGCTGGCTAACAGATAAGCTGTCATAGCTGGCCACCCATGCCCATAATTACATTGGAGGCACTGCCAGCAGAATCTGACATGCAGGATCCACGTACGCACTTTTGCTACTTGCATTTCCTTCTTGGTTCTGTCACAAACAATAATAGGGACAGGTTGCCCTAGCATGTCTCCGCCAGCTGGAGCCTGAACCCAAGGGAGAGCTGTGTCTGTGTATCCTATGCCGCCTCGTTACAGGCGCGCTGGCGGATGTAGAATCCTGAAAGCTTACATCCAGATGGACAGCAACAAGAGA